TTTTTTTTTTTTTTAAAGCATCTGTTTGGTTTACTCAGAATAACCACACAGGCACTGTCTTCATACTGTCACACACAGATACAAACACACATACAACACAATATCCATATTTAGGCCAAGTTCATTCCTTCTGAGTCTCACTTATACGTCTTCATGTGCCACAGCCCATCATTTAAATAATGGATATTCTCAATGCCAATTCCTTTGTTGACTTTCTCGATATCTTCTGCAGACTTCTTCATGACTCCAACACACAGCGCATGCTGTTTTCCTTCTGCCATGACTGCAACAATTGTGTCTACTGCTGCAGGATAAAGCTTAGCTCCAGGAGAAGTTAAACCTGGACACATGATATTTGCTCCACTGAGTACAAATGTGATGGCTCCTTTATCCACCTGCTGGTGTGGCAGGATAAAAGGATATTTGTGAAGTAACCTTAGGGTTGGATAAAAAGGCCCCTTCCTTTGTCTAAAAAAAAGTAATTCTCCATTTACTGTAATGATTTCTGTATGTTCGTGGCATCGAACTATTTTGACAGGTTCCTTCTTAGGCATAATTTGGTTAAGCCATGGTTCAATACCTGAAAACTGCTCTATCAGTTGGTTCTTAATCCCCTTAATAACCGAGGTTTTCAGCTGGATGAAACTGGACACATCCTCCTTTTCATCAAACTTCTTGAACATGATCCCGGGTGAAAGGGCCGGAATCGGGAAGAAGTTGAACCACCAAGTGTCCGGCAGATCCCGGCGCTCGAGCTAGTCCGGATCGGACGGTTGGAGCCGTTGTCGTGAACCGGAAGGCGAGACAGCCAGTGCGCCTTACGGCTTCGTGAAATCGGACTACTTCCGCTCCTCCTCCGATGCCGCGTGGGAGCTCGCCGGCTCTCCTCCGACTTCCGGTTCTTCTCCAGAGGGGGTAGCGGAAGGGGCGGGACTTGAGGAGGAAGGAGCCATACAGCAATTCTAGCTGCAGGAAGGGAAGAGTAGCGGGGTGTGTCCTTATTATTTCTAACTGGACACAGGACCGATTTGATCACGGCCACGTTTTCCAGCTTCCCCTGTAGCTAAATGCGCCCGTGATATGGATGCCTCTCCTTCCTTCTGGCTGGAATGTGGAGCGATGGTCGCCATCCTGGAGTCGAGGGCCACCCCTGAGTATGGCGGAGCACCAGACAGATGAGACGTGGGACCCTGAACTCTATGGTGCACACTTTATCTTTTTTTAAAAAATAAGCAATCATTTATTTGGTACAGATGCATTAGAGATGAAAAAAGGAATCCCGTGAAATCGCCTACCTCTAGGGACAAGGCAGAATGTGCTAGGCACCAGTGAGAGTCCATTCCACAACCTTAGAATTTTACATGAAAGAAATGCCTTCCATTTGGTCAAGCCATTGATAATCTTATGTAGCATTCGAACCCATATCTTAATAAACCCACAAACTCCAGCACCCCCACCCCCCTTACTCAGTTTTCAATTTTTTTTTTTTTTTAAAGATGACCGGTAAAGGGATCTTAAACCTTGACTTGGCGTTGTCAGCACCACGCTCTCCCAACTGAGCCATGGGCTGGTCCGGCCCAGTTTTATTTTTTTAAAACCATGGAACATCCTTTTCAAGGCTTAGGCAGAAGAGTAATCACACAAATAAGAAACACGATAAAAATACTCAAGACAGCCAGTTTTTACTGAGTGCTTACTATGAGCCAGGCAGTGTGCTGAATGCTTTCCACTCATAATTGACTTGCAGTCCTAACAACGTGCCTATGAAGGAGGTACTAGATTATGACTTTCATTTTACAGATGGAAAAAAAAAAAAAAAAACCCAATAAAACCTAACAAAAATACCCAATGCTCAGAGGTAAGGCATTCACGCAGAGCCTCATGTCTAGGTAACAGCAGAGCTGGGGTGTGAACCCTGGCTGTGAGATTCTACAGCCCACCTTTTCCATCACTCATCCTACCAGAGAACTCCAAAACTGGAGAGACAAAGGGGAGTGGAGATAGAAAACACTGAAGCACCCTATAGGGGAAAGTGGGCAGTACTGACCTTCCTTGTTCTCCCCAGAGCCCTGTGTGAAGAGCAGCTGGTACTGTCGATTTGGGAAGTTGGCTGGAAAAAACTTATTCATGAAGGGGCTGGAAGGAAAGACAAAGCAGGTCGGCAAACAAAGCCCCCATGGACAATCACAGACCTACCCTCTTCCACCAGTACCCATTTACAGCTGTCATCTGGCACCCTCAAAACTGCCTTGATAGGTAGGTGCTACTGTTCCCACTCTACAGATGTGGAAACAGAGGCCCTCAGAGCGTACAGTTAGATAAGGGATTTGCCCAGGGTCAACGCAGGGAGCCAATATCTGAGCTGAGACCTAGGTCTCTGGACTCCTAGTAATTTCCTTACTGCCTCTTTGTTACCACCAAAGAAATACAAAGCAGAGGCAGATAGACTTTCACGTTAAGATACAGTTTTTGGGAGAGCAATGGATTCCAAAGTCTGGCCCATGCACCACCTGTATGAGATTCTGTTGTCAAGAAGCATATTCCTGGACTCCCTTCCAGATGGATCAAGCCAGATGACCTGATAGTCACCCCCACCCCACTCTATGACTTATTATTTTGCTCCCCAGCAACGGACTTGAGAATTTTACAAACTTGGCTGGAATCAATCACCCACATGAATCACAGCCTCCAGTGTGAAATCACCCTCACACTCACTCCTTCCATGTGGCCTCTGTTGCTCAGGACCAACTTGGCCTTGTTTCTAGAAGCATTCCCTCTGATTACCCAGCACACCCCACTTCCTGGCCAGGCAGGGAATGGAGAGATTAAGCAAACCAGGGCCTCTTGGCCCAGCCTGGTCCCGGGGGTGGCAGTACTATGGAGCAGCTATAAATGCAGGTAGCCCAGCTCTGAAGCCTGTTATGCCCGCACCAGCTGTGTGGCCCTGGGAAAGCCGCTCCAGTGGTTCAGTCTCCCTGGGCATCAACCTCCTCACCTGTAAGTAGGGATAATAATACCACCTATCCCAAAGGGTTGTTGTGAAAATATGAGAAGGCAGGTGAGATGCTTAGTCCAGCACTGGGCCTGCAGCTGGGATGCAAAGAATTGTGAGCTTCTGCCATTATGGCACACTCCTCCAGAGCATGAGCTTGAAAGCATTTGACAACAACACACTGATAAAGACTAATGAGGTAGGCATATTCAGAAATGGTCTTTCCAAGTGATAGATAAATGGAGGCAGGCCAGGAGTACCCAGGTCACAGTGGTAAAGGCAGGAAAATGGGAGCTCTCTTTTTAAGACACTGGTAGCTTACAGAAAGATACAGATTCAAGAACCATCTGTGGGCCTCAGTTTCCCCACTAGTCCAACAGCCAATCCCCCCCAGGCTGCAGGGCTGTGGTGTGAATGAGGGAGCTTTGTGAACAGAGATGTGGCAGGCACAAGGATGGAATCAGAAGTAGGCTTCCACAGCAGGTCTCTGAGGAGGTGGCAGGCAGACGCTAGGTGGATGAGGCTGGAAGCTATTTTCAGCTCAGTTTGCTGAATCACTTTTGTGGGACTCTGAAGCCAGGGTGTGTGTAGGTAAGGGCAGAGGCAGAGAGGCAGCCTAAGCCCTTCACTGCAGTATGGCCTCTTCCTTCAGAGCTTGGTGCTTAGCTTCTCAACGAGCAGAATGTGATGGTTAAGAAAGTGCATTTGGAAGCTAGCAGACTTCCTGGATTCAAATCGCAGCTCTGCCACTTATTAACAGTGTGATCTTTTGAAAGTTACTTCACTGCTCCCTGCAACTGTTTTCTCATCTGAAACACTAAAACAATACCTTTCTCATAGGGTTATTAAGAGGATTAAATGAGTGCTTGGTATCCTGTAAGCTTAAATGCAGCTTCAACTTCAAGTCTTTAGACTGATGCCTTTATTACTCTGAGAAAAGAGGGGCTGCTGGATAATACAGGGGAAGAGTTAAGCGACCTGGCTGGTGTGGGTCTGTGAACTTGAGGGCAGGAGCCCTGTCTCATCACCCAACCCATGCCAGGGCTGGTGCCTGGGAAGTGTCTGGTAAATGCTTGCTGGATGACTTTGAATGCAGACTTTTGTAGTAGGCAGAGATTCTTTCTGGTTCTTAATGGCTCAGGTCAAACCTAAAGGTCACTGCTTCCCACTGAGAAACCACATCCTGGTGCCCTTCTCCCCTGGGGGTAGAAGGTAAGGGTCAGTGAAACTGGTGACGTGGCAGATTTGGGCCTTTTGGGCCCTTTTTCCTCTAAAGGTCAGCTGGGAAGGGCATGAGCCCAGTCAGAGGTGATAAAAACAAGCCAAGGCTCCCTTGACAGGGAGGATGTCTGGGATTTGGCTTGGGCTTGAGTCTTGGTGACAGTACAGGGTGAAGGCAGGCTGTGGCCCCTACCTTCCTCTAATACCCAAAGCTGTGGTTTATTCCCAAACCGCCCTGGGGGAGGTAGAAGGGACCCTAAGAGAACCTCAGCCAACCACCGGTCCACTGGGACAGGGTAGCCAGCCCGCCCTCTTTAAGCTCTCCCTTCCCCTTCCCTTTTGCCAAAACTGGAAAGACTACTGGCTTTGGAGTCACAGACCCAGGCTCAAAACCTCCCTCTACCCTTCTCAGCTGTGAATCCTGGTGGTCACATGACCCCTCTGAACCTCAATTTCCCAGTCTGGTAACTTCGGACTTCCTTGATTAGATCCTGAGGAAGGTTTGACTGTAAGTTTGTGGATATAATCAGCTCATCAAAATTCTAAAAACACTACAGACTTTCTTTGAGAAAGTATTTAAGAAAACTCAATTTTGGGCTGGCTGATTAGCTCACTTGGCAGAGTGTGGTGCTACTAGCCAACTGCCAAGGGGAAAAAAAAAAAAAAAAAACCCAATTTAATTGAAGAACAAAAGTCAATTTAATTCTTGGATCAACTTTCTGAAAAGCATGATTAAATTATACCTTTCTCCTTTTTACTAAAATTATTTTCATTGGGTTCAGTTCTTTTCCAAGTAAATTTTACAGTAATGATCTCATTCATCTGACAGTTTTTGGCTCTATCAAATTTTTTCGGTGGACAGGTTTGGCATCTCTTCTGCCCACGGCCATCCATTATTTTTACAAGGTCTGATTTTCCAGGGTGAAATTTCGTTGCTCTAAATTTTATTAAGAAAATGATTCTACTGTTAGTTTCTCTAGTCACTAACAAATTTTACTGTGTGCAAATTTTAGCTGCCGTTGGTTTTATTTTCTGTTAATAATATCTATCACTAAAAATTATGAATTGATTAAAAGACAGACAATTATTTCTTGGCTAGTCTATGAGAAATTTGGGACAATGTCCCTCAGTTATTGTTCTAAAAGGAAAAAAAAGTCTTTGGTATCAAAATGATAGAGGTTCGAAATATCCTGCTTGGGCAGATGAGTAGGGATAAGATCTCTCTTGCAGGGTTGTTGAGATAAGATGAAATAATCAATTCCCCAGCACAGTGGCTTTCAAAATGTACTGAGTTCTCTTATTCTGAGGTGGAGGTTGGGCTATGGGGAGAACTCACAGATGCTGGGGTGGGATGGGCTAGAGTTAGGGGATGGATCCTAATCAGCATGGGAAAGGAGGGGACCCAGTGCCTGGAAATGACTGTTCCCACCCAGGCCCATCATGAAAGGACAGGTCTGTCATGTGAATAAGAATGACTGAGCCTGCCACTATTTTGCTGGGTACAAGTCACTCAGGTTCCCTGGGCCTTTACTTTTCAGGATGGGGGGCTTAACAAGAATCCTCCCATGCTAGCTAGAAGAAAATTCTATGGGTGAAGGGTCACTGAAGGTGAAGACAACACTGAACTCAGCCAGAAGACGAGAGTTGAAGTCCCCACTGTGTAACCTTGGCCAGCCACTCAGCTCACTGTGTGTTTGGCACTGTGCTCTAGGTATGTTAGACAGCGGCTCGTTTGATCCTTCTCACACCTCTATGAGGAGGTTCTTGTAGTCTCTGCATTTTATAGGTGAAGAAAGTGATGCTCAGACAGCTTGAGCAACTCACACGAATTACAGAGCGGGCAGAGCCAGGCTTTGGTCCTAGGGCTATCTGCCTCTCAGGCCCATGCTCTTGACTGACAGCGTGCGTAGAGGAATGAGGCCATG